CAGCAGCAGGCGGCGCCGAGCGGCTGGTCTGCGTTCCTCCAGCAGGGCAGAGAGTACGCGCGCGCTCGCTTGTTCCATTCCGCGCCAGGTGATGATGATGGTGACCTCACTCGCACATGAATGTCGGTGGACACACACACACACACACACGACGCACAGTTTCTTGAGCGGCGCGCAAGGAGGAGGGTGGTACGACGACGAAGACGAATGGGAAAAGCCACAGCAGGCGAGCGGCTTCCCGGCCTTCTCAGCTCCGCCCGGCTATCAGGTACATGCAACGATTCTTCTTCTTCTTCTTCTTCCGGTCCATCATCAGGTGATGGCCACCATCGTGGCTTCCTAACATTCCATGAGCGAACAGATGAGCGAGGAAGAACAGCTCCAAGCCGCGATGATGCTCTCCCGCGTGGCCGCCGACGAAGACGTACCATCTCCTCTCCTCCTTCGTCTCTGACATTGACCTAACGACACGACCAACGACACACGACACGACACACAGGCCGACAAGGAGCAGGATTTCGAGGGGCTGATGCTGAGCAAGGGCCTGATGATCAAGAAGATCAGCGACGACGGCAACTGCCTGTTTGGCGCCGTGGCCGACCAGGCCTACGCCGACCCCGCCCTCCACGCCGAGCTCCGCAAACAGTGCCTTGACTACATGGTAGGCCCACAGCAGAGCCTACTCCCTCCTGACAAAAAAACGCAGTCGCTGCTCACTCGCCTCTGTGTGTGTGTTGTGTGTGGTGTGTTGCGCCACGTATAGGAGAAGGATCGGGACCACTTCTCGCAGTTCGTGACGGAGGACTTCGAGGCCTATGTGCTGCGCAAGCGGTGCCTGGGCGTCTACGCCAACAACCCGGAGATCCAGGCCCTCTCCGAGATGCTCGGCCGGCCCATCGAAGTCTATTCCTACGCTTCAGGTTAGCTGTTGTGTGTAGTGTAGTGTCGTGTCGTGCGCGTCGTGCGGTCCTGACTCACACCGCTGTGTTGGCTGTAGAACCGATGAACACATTCCAAGGGGCGGGTGGCGGCGGCGCTCGGCCCATTCGGATCAGCTACCACCGGGGCAACCACTACAACTCGCTGCGATCGCTCGACCCGACGACGGAGGAGGCGCCGCTGCCCGCACTCGCGCCATCGGGGGCAGCAGCGGCAACGACAGTGCAGCCGCCGCAGGCTACGCCAGCCGGCGAGGGCGAGAACGCGTGCTTCCTGTGCGGACAGCAGTGCGTCGACTACGAGGACCTCCAGATCCACATGTTCACCACGTGCGAAAAGAAGGACCTCCTATGAGCAAGTGCGGAGCCCATGTACAGCAGCCAAAATGAATGAACAGATCGATGGTTTACGAACGCGGACACACACACACGCACACACCACCGATTGGGAGGGAGGTTGTATTATGCACAAAAAGAGCCATAGCTGGCTCACAACCTGAACACCTCACACGCCAATCGCGATTGCACCACAGCATGAAATGACCATTCATAAAGACTCGTTAGCTGGCAGCGTTGTTCTTGGCGTTTCTCTCCTCTTGGGCCTTCTTTCGCATCTGCTGCACGTAGGCCTCCTTCATCTTTTGTTCGTAGAAGGTCTGCATGACCGACAGCTGCTCCATGTCATTCCGTTTGGCCTCCAGCTGGCTCTGGCACGTGAACCTTGGTTGTACTCCCGATCAGTCGAGTTCGTGCGTGTGTGCGTGTGCTATGCGTGTGCGGTGTGCGTGTGTGTGTGTGTGTGTCGTGTGTTCGTACCACTTCATGACCGACCCGAGAGTGAAGACGCCCACGGCCAGCGGTCCATGAAACTTGCCTGCGGACGTGCATCAGACGTTTTCGCGTGAGCAAGAAAGAGGAGAGAAGTTGGAGGGATTAGAGATGGATGAGAAGGCGATGGGCACGTGTGAAGGCGTAGTATCCGAGGGCGCAGGCAGAGGCGAGGCCAGTGCCCGTGAGCATCGCACTCTGGAAGCAAGGGACGGACATCGGACTGGCAACGATTCAGAAAAAAAGGAAGATTAATTAAATCAACAAAAATCAAAAGTGGCGTGTGTCGTGCACTTCGAAGCAACTTGTTGGGAGAGAGAGAGAGAGAGAGCAGAGGGAGGAGTACCTGTACAGGCCAGTGCCGGTGCGGTCGAACGAGGGTGGCTTGCCCGCCTGATCTCCATTTGTGTTTTCTGACATTTTGATTTCCGGTGCGCAGACTCAACCCAGCAGGGATTTTGATGAGGGAAGGCTAGCCACCGATGGATGAACACAAAACCAATTAATGAGTAAACGATGCGCAGATCCGATTCTTGCTCGGTATTCCAGGTATTCCGTCATTTCTTTTCTATTTTCCTTTTTTCCTTTGTGGTGTTTTCGGCGGAGCACCCACGCAACTTTTGCTTGCTCATGGTTGGGTCCAAGTGGCGCGCCACAGCGCACCAACACTCAACTCTTTTCTTTATCTACACACGACACACACGACACAGACCTCCAACACACGCACAAACCTGACATGGCTCATGAGTGGGCTGGAGAGGAGTACGCCAAGTACAACGAACCGCAGCGCGTACATCCCCACATCCACACCTGGCTTGTTGCAACATACTGTTTGGGTGATCATGACATATATATGTTGTATGTATATATGTTATATGACGATAATGTTTGGTGGTTTGCGGACATATATAGGAGTGGGCGTTGGACTTTGTGCATCGGAGCCTGGCCAAGGAACTGGGCGGGCCGACCACCGGCACGGGCGACCTGCGCCAGACGGCCATGACCGGCGACGTGCTCGACCTGGGCTGCGGCGACGGCAGCGTCTCCGCCTGGATCGCCACCCGCAAGCTGCCTGTGGCGCGGGTACCCCCAATGAACACTCCACTCTACCAACCATTGCTAAACAAACGTGTGTGTCATGTGCGTGTCGTGTCGTGCGTGTCGTGTCGCGCAAGGTGGTGGCCGTCGACACCTCCAAAGGGCAGCTCGACTACGCCCGCAAGGCCTACCACTCGGTGGACAACCTTTCATTCCATGTACGGCGTTGTGTGTTGTGTGTGTGTGTGTGTGGGTGTACGCAAAAGACACGTAATCGGCTCACACACCACTTGCAGTTGGCATCGGCGACGGAGCTGCCGGACGAGTGGCGGGACCGGTTCGACATGGTGCTCTCCTTCACGGCCCTCCACTGGGTGCGGGACCACGCCGCGGTCCTCCGTCAGGCTCACAAGGTGCTCAAGCCGGGCGGCCTGCTGGCCTTCACGATGGTGCTCGCCGGCCCGCGCGAGTTCACCCCCGTCCTGGACATCGTCGCGGCCCTCGCCCCGTGGCGCGACCACCTCCAGCACTACGCGCCCCCGACCTATCCCGCCAATTCCGGGTGGACCGAAGGTTTGGCTTTGCCCTCATCTCCCCTTGGGCTAGGCCAGGCAGCCAAAACGTTGACTTGATGGGCTCACCTGCTGCTGTGGTCTTCGATGGCAGAGTTCATACTGGCGCACCACCCCGGCGGCTGCCGGGTGGGAGAAGACGAAGTGCAGGACGAGCAGCGGAGGCAGCAGCTGTTCGTGGAGGCCTACCGCCATCTGCTCACCAGGTGCGGGTTCGAGGTGGAGACCCTGGAGGTCGTGCCGGCCAAGGCCAACGCAGAGTGCGCTCCACGCTCGTTGCTCCTGTTATGATCAATTGCCACAGCCATGTGCTGACTTGGCTGCGCGACACAACACGCGACACACGCACCACCGCACAACACACGCGCGATGGTACGTGCAGTAACGCGGAGGAGCTGAAGCAGTTCGTGGCGCAGTGGCTGCCGCACAAGCAGCGGATCCCGGAGCCCCAACAGGAGGCGTTCATCGACGAGGTGGTGGACGCCTACCTGCGCCACACCGAACAGAGCCGGGCCAAGGGCGAGCTCCACATGTGGTTCGACCTCCTCCAGGTCAAGGCCCGCAAGCGCGCCGGCTGAGCCGCAACGGCCGCCATGCAGCCGAAATGAAGAGAAATGAAGATAAAGAATGGAAATGTTTTAATTCGGCGGAAGAAGAGTGGTCAAAAGCGTGAGTGTGTGGCGTCGGCGTGGCATGATTATCATTTCAGGAGCAACGAGCGTGGCGTGACACTAGAAATTGGCCTTGGCCGATACAACCGCCAGGGCACGTTGATTGTTTCGGGCCGGGGAGGTCAGGCGAAGCCGAAGCCCTGGGAGCCCTCGTTGATGGCGTAGAGGAGACGTTCCGAGAGCACCGAGTACGACGTGTACGAGGGCAGGTTGAACCGGTTGAAGCACGTCGACGCCTGCGGCAACGTGTCGGTCCCGTAGATCTGTGCGGTGACCCACACGGCTCAGCATCTTTAAAAAAACAACTCTCCCCGCACACGCACACGCACACGCACCACCGCACACGATACCTTGTTGATAGAAATGGGGCTGGTGAGAGCCCCGAAGCCACCGAGTGGCAGCTGGGACGAGCCGGTGATGAACTGCAGCAGCCGGGCGCGCTCCTCCTCGCTGAAGCTCTCGACGGCCGCCCAGAACCAGCGCACCACCTCGTCGCCAGCCCGCCAGGAGTTGTACTGCACGGCGGCCTTGAACTCGGCCAGGTCGATGCTGGGTAGCCCGTTGAACAGCAGCTCGAGCTCGTTTTCGTCAAACATGCAGATCAGTTCCTGTTGCCGTGCAACGCAGAGATTAGATATCGAGTTGAGAGATTAGTTACTTTGCGCTCCGGAGCTAAATATTAGGTCTTTGGCTCCGGAGCTGTTTAGTTCTTTTCCGGAAACATACCTCCGTAATCAGTGAGTGGAATCCCTCCTTGAAGGCGCCGATCCGCGCTTCCGCGCTCTTCAAGAGGCGGTACTCGCTGTACGGTTCGGAGTTAAAATCTGCACAAAGAACGAAACGGAGGGCTCAGCTAGCGAAGGGGGGGAACGTACGCGAGGAGGTGGAGGTATTCGTGGCGGTTGAGCTCGGTCACGGCGATGTCGCGCCCGCCCGGCTTGAGTTCGACCTCGCCGACCGGGGCGCCCGACTGGTCGAACACCTCCTCGGTGAAGGTCAGCTCCAGATCGCTCGGGTCGTTGTCCAGCAGATACTTCACCTTCGACATGTAAAACTGTGTTGTGCCGTGTTGCGTGTCGTGTGAGTCGCGCGTGTGACGTGTGTGTCGTGTCGTGTTGCGTGTCGTGTCGTGACGCGTGATGCGCGTGGGCGACTTGCCTGGGGGTCGTCGGTTTGCCAGTCGGTGAAGTGCGGCGGGAGGCCCAGCAGCTGCTTGCGGAAGCTGCGGGTGAACCGCACGTCCACCAGGTGCGCCGAGCCGTGCACCGCCGCGTCCCACACCGTCTTCCTGCACACACAACGTCCCACCACCACATCTTATTATTTGTCGACCCACCAACCACCGCCGTGACGATGGTCGACGCGTACGCCAGGAAGAGTCCGGCGGCCTTGTAGAGCTCCAGCGCCTCCTTCTCTTTCTGTACGTCAGCGGACTCGTCGTCCTTGGCGCCACCGCCGAGCCAGCCCAGCAGCCCCTTGCGCTTGCTCCCCTCCTTCTTGGCCTTCGTCTTCTTCATTCTTCTTCTGGTCGTCGCCGCTGCTGTCGTGGTCGGCTGCCTTGTCCTTCCCCTTGCTAGACGCGTCGTTGGCCTTGGCCTTGGACTTGGACTTGAGCTTGGGCCGGCTGGGACACGGGTGGACGCCGCAGGTGGCGCTTTCGTCGCTGAGCGGCGAGAAGAGCCTGGCCTCGGGCCTGAACGCCTCGCGGCCCATCACCGCGAAGAACTCGCGCAGCAGGCCGCCCGCGTCATAGCCCGGCTCGCCCTGGAACGTGATCTGCACCGCACGACACACGACACACAACACACAACGTATAACACACGATACACGATACACGACACGACATCCGTGAGCTGGTTTCGACGAACGAGTTGTTTTGGGGCGAAGGGAGCGGCTCACCTGCCATCGGCCCTTCCACTGGTCGACTGACAGCGTACGGCCCAGACGAAGCAGCGTCTGCACCATATCAGCTCGGTCGGCTTGCACCTCTTACGTGTCATATCGGGCCATTTGAGTTGGGTTAGTTTGTATCGTGCCGTGTGTGTCTTGTCGTGTGTCGTGTCACGTGCCATGCGTGTCGTGCGTGGCGTGTGTCGTGCGTGTGCGTGCGCCGTGTGTGAGGTGGGGAGGCGCACGGGTGGTGTATCCACCGCCGGCCTTGCGCAATTCGGCGAAGAGCAGTTGCTGGCGCTCCTCGAAACTCTTGCTCGCGACGACGCGGTTGACAAAGGCGTGGTAGGTGGCGTAGAACACGTTGCGCTCCTTGGACGCAAACACCAGCGGCGGCTGCCCGTCGTCCATGTCCAGCGAGAAATCGGTTGCCGACGCCGGATCGATACTCACCTGTACCATTTCTTTATGTGTGAGCACGTTTCGTTGGTCGTGTCGTTGGTCGTGCCGTTGGTCGTGCCGTTGGTCGTGTCGTGTCGTCGGTGGTGTGTGCGTACCTTCAAGGTGCGGTGCAGCCGGGCGGCCTGCAGGCGGCGAGGCACGATGCCCAGAAGGTACGAATAGATGGCCACTTGCTGCGGGGCAACGACCGACGGGTAAGGAATGATCAGTATGTCGCGAGTTAGCAGTGGCATGAGGAATGTGCATTCCTCCCATTCCCGCCAAACACCACTGTAACTGACCAACACGCGCACCTTCTCGGTAATGAAGACCCACAACGTGGAGCCCCTCTGGGTGGTCTTGAAGAAGAACCGCTTCTTCTCCACATTCGTCTCGAGCGCCGCCATCTGCTTGGCTGCCGAATCGGAGGAGAGACCTTTTGGCGATCAACGGGCTGTCGCGAGGTTGCAACGACACGCACACGACACAAACGACACACGACACGGCACACGACACCGACACAAAAACACGCACGTTTGAGCACGTTGATCACCCATTGGCCGTTGGGAAGGGGCTGCTCGTCTTCATCGTCGCGGTAGAAGAGGCACAGTTCGTTGATGCCCGACTTGGGGCGGAACGTCAATTTATACGAACCGTCGCCGCTGTCTTGCACCTGATTGGCCACCATATAACAACAAACAAGCAGTAGTGTATGCATACACGTGGTTTTGTTAGTGATCACAGTGTTTGATCATTGTAGATCATGGGAGAGGGCCAATTACGTCGACATGGATGTCTCGCTCCCAGGGCAGCCCAGACTTGGCGCTGACGCCCTTCGCGGCCAACCTGAACACGGCGGGTCCGCCCGTGTCTCGCTCGTTGCCGAAGGCTTGAACGATCACCACCACAAATACCAGGAACACATTACAATATATGTTTGTATATGTCATTCCATCATTGACCAATGGGATTGAATGTTAAGCGTACAGTCGGCCGTGCGGACGATGATGTGAGTGTCCTGCTTGCTGGGTAGGGCCAACGGACCCATGCCCGGCCCCTTGAGCGTGCAATGCCGGGCATCGATCGGCCCTGCGCGCCATCAGACCCGCGTGCGCAGGAGATCGATCAGCACACGCGCGCGGTTGTCTCCCAGAAATGCAGGAAGGTGGGTGGGTGAGGGGACCGGCTGAGATGTGGATGGCGTAGGGGCTGTCACCGAGGGGCTTGTCGTTGGCCCACAGGGCGATCTGGTAGCTGCCGGCCTTGCGAGCCATGTATGTCACATCGTACGTGCCTGCATGCCACACGGCCAACGATCACACAACACAACACAACCAACGACGACACGACACGCACACGACACGCACATGACACGACCAACGACACGACACACGGATCAGCTTAGTCTGCTGACCATTAGCGAGGACCCCACAACACAAGTTGGCACTTTGCACGAACCGTTGTTGTGGTTGAGGACCGTGGGAATGAGCGTGGCGGTCCCGCTGATCTCAACGCGCACCTCGCGCTCCAGCGGCTCCGTGTAAGTCGTCCCGCGCCAGCTCATCAACTGTAACCGCACGCACCGCACACACACCGCACACGCCGCAAACGTGACAAATGAGGCGAGTGCTGCGCCAACAAGAAGCGGAGCGCCGTACGGTGAAGGAGAAGGCGAGACTCTGGCCGGCATTGCCGGGTCGGCGCGCGATGCCGGGACCCGACGGCAGGCTGCCGCCGGCGTCGAGCACCCGCCCGAGCGGCGGCAGCGACGTGCGCAGCCACGACAGGCCGCCCCCTGCGCCGGCGTTGTGCAATCTTCTCATTCGCAATCTTTGTCGGCGATTGGATCCTGCATTGCGTGCCGTGGCCCAGCAAGCGCGCACAAGGCGTGCCACGAAGCCCAAGCCCGCCATGGCCAGGTCGACCAGAAGCGACGTTGGAGTCGAGGCGTGAGTGGAAGATGAAGAGAATGAAACCTGCTGCAGGAGCTGGGAGGGGAGCCAGGGCCGGTTTTCCAACAGCAGCACCAACTGTACGGCGGCGCAGGCCATGCAGAACCACCCCAGCCCCACCACCATCCACACGACGCTCACCACCATCGCCAGCTCTTTCTATTATTATTAGTATTAAAAAAAACCACTTTCGCCCGAACAAACTACTTACTGCTGCAAGTTGATTTCTTTTTGCTTTTCTGCAATTCTTCTTTTTGCATTTTTCGTTGAAGCACTCGACTCCGCAGAGGGGAACTTCTCCTTCCCGAGCCCTTGCCACGGTCCCAAGGGCGCCACCCACCGACCGGCGGACTGAACCACAACAAGAGCTCCGACTCTAGATTTCTTCCGAAGACGTCGAACCAACCCAAACTGTTGCGGATGCCCGCACGTTTTATTGGTGTGACCGCATGCCAACCGGCATTTGCCGGAGAAAACACTGTTTTGGCGAACATGCTCTCAACATGTGCCACACCACGGCAGAGAGTATTGGACAGACTCAAAGCAGAGCCCGCGGGCTGTAGGATCAGAGCGCGAGGCCTTGAAGATGTTGTATATAACGTTTTGAGTGCGGGGCTCACGTGCCGCCCACTTGGAGGATGGTATTGCCTGAGAGAACATCATCCTCAGTATTGAGGAGCTGGGTGAGGGACATTGAGGCAGGTGGGCTTGAGGGAGCACCTGAAGGATGAGGAGGAGAGTGGAACCCTTTGTCATAGGAGCTGAAGTGTGGTGAAGCATCAGGGTCCTCCTGAGAGTGTGGGGTGTGGTTGCCCTCTGGGTGGAGGTGGTGTGAGAAGGGGAGAATGGTCATAGTGCAGTGGTGTGGTGATGTGTGGTGAAGAGTGAACATCCTCTGGGGGCCACAGACCAGGATAGATGGGTGAGATGTTGGGTGAGGATGAATAGCACACAGTCTGTCAGGATGGAGGTGTGCATGTTGGGTATGTTGCCTGCTGCTTCTTGAGCTGTTGGGCCATGAGCCACAGTGAGCTACTTAAGCTCACCAACTGTATTGTGCTTCAAGCAGTTGGTGAGGAGAAGGTGGGCCACTCTGCCAAACATGGTTAGTGTGAGGTTGAAAGGGGAGAAGGGGTGTGGTGTGGTGCAGTGCAGTGTGGCCCAGTGTGGCGTGGCGCAGTGCAGTGCAGTCCAGTATGGTGAGGGTAGGGAGAAGGGAAGGTGTACATGTTTTCTTCCTCCAGCTGAAGAATGCAGATCTTGTTCTGCCAGATACAATGCTGCAGGTTATCAATAGAGCTAGATTTTCTCCAATGTTCTGGAATGTCCTCCAACCTCCTCCTCACCATATCCTTCTTGCTGCTGATGCTCTTGTGCAAAGTGATGTGACCTCCTCCTCACTGCAGCAGACTTTCTTGACAGCCTCTGAGTCAGTTGTTCTGCCCTTGCCTGGATGGCCTTGTGGTTCTGCTGATGCACTGCCTGGTGGAGGGCAGGGTTAATGTCTTCCCTCTTCCATTTCCACTTCTCCTCACTGCTGGGAACTGGCTTACCAGCCAATCTCTTTCCTCTGTTGTTTTTGTGTGGTGAAGGTTGGTCAGGCTTGTGTTGATTGTTAAATGTGCAGCAGGGGTGCTGTGCAGGACAGAAGAATCAGCCTGAATGGGGTGTCAGACATGGGTGATGGCAACTTTTGGTTGCTCACATCAAACATAAAAGTAATGAACATACCTGTCCATTGCTCAGCAGTATGTGTGGTTTCTTTGTTCTTTCACTCATGTTCTTCTTTTTCTGCCTGTTTTTCTTTCTCATGCTTCTCCTGTTGTTCCTCCTGCTGCTGGCGGCGTTCATCCACATGCTCTAGACACACCATAAAAGCTTGATTAGCATTAATCTTAACATCAAATAAGCAACCATGTTTTTGTACTTTTGCTGTGATTCCCATAGCATGTGGCCCATTCTGTGCATGGAACCATAAGACAACGGTGCTTGTAGCCATCAGGGTGGGTTGAAGAGATGATTTTGGTCTCAAATTGGGGCATGTGGCATCATGGGCAGCGGTCTGGAGTCCACCCACAATCTGGGTGTGACCAAATCACAAAAAATGATTGTCCAGCCACCTGTTTAACCCACCAAGATGGGTCAAACTCAGGGTAGGCCCCTTGATAGAGGGCCATAAGCCCCTCAAAGGTCATGCCTGCCCTTGCTGCCATCAAGGTGAAGGTACAAAGAACTCAATTCCAGTTGGAGCAAAAAAAATATTTGGTTTTAACTAACAAGATGTTTTAGATTTTATTTTGGTCAACAGAGAAAAGGGATTGCTCTCATTGCTCTTCTACAACGGGATTCTCTGGCCAAGCACTTCTTCCATGTCAAGCAAGGCCTGCTGCACTATTGGAAACAAAAGCTACTCAACCCAAGTTTCCACACTGGCCCTGGGGGTGGCTTCCAGTACATTTTAATCTTTGCTTTTTTCCAGCAGATTCATTCATTGTGTGCTTTGGGTGAATCTGTGCTTCCACCCAACCTTTAATTTGGCTCAGCACACCAATCTTCTGAACTGATTTTGCCTGCTGCTGATATCTCTTGTGATTTTGTCTGCTGAATCTTTGTTTCCTGGGGGTGGATATGGAAACAACCAATGACCCAGCAACTCTGCAAGTACACTGCAGAGAACATGCAGTATTATTGCAGGTGGCATGTCTGTTGTGGTTGGCAGGTTGGGCCAAGTGGTGCATGGCTCTACATGACATCCATGGAAGCACTCAACACTGACTACTCACTCACCCTGCTTCTCAACCTGACCATTCTTCCTCCACCTTCATGCAGCTTCAAATTCCTAGTGGACTTCTTTGAGTTCATTGTCACAGCAGTGGAGGAAGGCCACCTTGTGGCAGGCCACTGGCTGATTGTGGACAATGCCAGTGTCCACTTCAGCCTGTCAACATGGGAACCTTTGACAACTCTTCTTGCTGCCACCAGTCCAGTACATCTTCCTGCCAACGTACTCTCCTGAGGTAAACCCATGCAAACTGATCTTCACAAGCATCAAGAACTTCATCCACAATAACCAGTTCCCCCACTTCCACACTTACGAGCTCATGCTACTGGCATTCGCCAACATCCCTGTCCCTCATGTCTGGCGTGCCTATGAGCACTGCGTGTTGATTAAAGATCGCATTCAAGCCTAGCGTTTTATAATAATAATAAAACAAATAAAACGAAATGATAAAAGAAATGTACCAACATTTCGCACGTGTGGTGGGCTATTAAGTTAACGGTGGTTGTGCCGCACGTCATTGTACGGCGCCGAGCGGCGGCGGCCGAGCGGCGGCGGCAGACCGGCGGGTGGCGCACTTGCGTAAGTCGGGCAATATTTAACGGGCCAAGCTCAACCCGCCACTCTTGTGTCTTGCCTCTCCCTCGCACACTACAATCACCACACCACCATCATGGAGACAGAGGAACGGCCGCCGAGTCATTCTTCCCAGTCCGATGACCAGGCCGACGTTTCATCAGACTCAGTGCGCACTCTCGCTCGCAGCCCACCCGGCCAGCGCAGCGAGTGATCACTAACGGTTGTGTGTCGTGCCTGTCGTGCGTGTGTTGTGTGTCATTCAAGGGTCCTGATGATGAGCCGAAGCTGAAGATTAAGGACCGTGACTACCTGTTTAGCGACTGGATCAAGGAGACCCGCCAAGTCAACAACCCCAACTTCGAGCCCATCTTCGTCGCCGTGGACAACCTCACCTACCGCGTGCCCGCGCTGCCGCCCACCAGGCACCACCGGAGCGTGTTCTCCGTCGTCGCCGACGCCGTGCGGCGCTTCATCCCCGAGAAGGGACCCAAGCCCATCCCCATCCTCGACGATGTCAGCTTCTACCTGAAGCCCGGCCAGATGACCCTGCTCCTCGGCGCCCCTGGTACGCGTGAGCTCCGCTCCCCTGCGACCGAGTCGCCCGCAAACTATCAGAAACGTCGAAAAAGGACAATGTGATTGCCATGAGCTCCAGTTATTGGTAAACCAAGGTTAAAAATGTCGACCTCCAGGGTGCGGAAAGAGCTCGCTGCTCAAGTTGTTGGCCAACCGTGTGCGGGTGGGCAAGGTCGAAGGCAACCTCACCTTCAACGGCAAGGTGCCCAAGCGCAAGCACTACCATCGCGACGTCGCCTTCATCCAGCAAGAGGATGTCCATCTTCGTACGAATTTTTATTATGCACTGCTCGCTCCAAAGATTCGCGTAGCGCTGACTCCCCTCTCACCTGCAGCAACCTTGACGGTGAAGGAGACGCTGCGCTTCAGCGCTGATTGCCAGATGCCGCGCGGCGTGTCGAGCCAAGCGAAAGCAGACCGCGTGGAGGCCATCATGCAGCTTCTGGGCCTCAAGCACCGTGCCAACACCATTGTCGGCGATGCGCTGCTCCGCGGCGTATCGGGCGGCGAGAAGAAGCGCGTGTCGGTGGGCATCGAGTGGGCCAAGTCGCCCGGCGTGTGGCTGTTCGATGAGCCCACCACAGGCCTCGACTCCTCTGCCTCCTACGACGTACGCCCCCCGTGCCTTTTCCTTTTTCTTCTTCTTCTTTTTCTTTTGTAGGACAAGTGAGCTCAATGCCCGTGGGTTGCTCGTTCGCAGGAGATGAGGGCTTTGCGGACGATCGTCGACATGGGTGGCGCGGCCCTGGTGTCGCTCCTCCAGCCCAGCTACGAGGTGTTCCACCTGTTCGACAATGTGATGATTCTCACGCAGGGCCAGATCGCCTACCTCGGCAAGCGCGAGGACTCCCTCGAGTACTTCGAGGCGCTCGGCTACAGGTGCAGATCGACGCTCAACCCCGCCGAGTTCCTTCGTACGCCGCTTTTACATGTTAAACACGACACGACACACACAACCGCACACGACCGGATCGACTTCTCACAGTTGAATTGCAATGCGCACAGAGGAGGTAGTCGAATCCATCACGAGCGTGAACCCGACCAAGTACAGGGCCGTCGAGGAGTGTGATGATGATGACGAGGACGAGGACGATTCGGTGTTGGCCGCGGTACCCGACGAAGAGTTCCATTGGCTGGATCCCAAGGACTTTGTGGCGGCCTACAGGCAGTCCGACCACTTCAAACACGTGGCCGAGACCATCGCCAGCACCAACAAGCACATCACCCACGACGAAGTTGAAGACAAGGTGAGAAGACTCGCCCACCATCGCTCAATGGAATGTCTTTTGTCTCACCATACGCCCTTGGCACAGGACCATCCGGCCAAGATCGAGTTGGTGGACTACGGCTGCGATGCCAAATACGCCGCTCCCATCTACATGTACCGTTCACTTAACGTCGTCTGGCGTTTGGCCATGACTCAAAGTCATTAACATTATTTCCACCATCACCGCGTCACTCCGCAGGCAATATTGGCTGTTGACCAAGCGCGCGCTGATGCGGGAATGGCGCGATAAGACCACCAACCTGGCTCGCATCTTCGCTGCTTGCCTCTTGTCCTGCATTATGGGCACGCTCTTCTTGAGGCTCGACTACAACCAGGCCGACATAAGCTCCCGGGTGGGCCTGACGTTCGCGGTGCTGGCCTACTGGAGCTTCGGTGCGCTCACGGCCCTGCCGCTCACGATCTTCGAGCGGCCGGTCTTCTACATGCAGCGCGACCAGAAGTACTACTGCACGTCACCCTATCTCTTCTCCACGATCGTGGCCGAGGTACGCTGGCAACACACCACACACACACACAACACACACACACTTTTCTTCTTCTTCTCACGTTCGGAGGTGCGCAGATACCAACCATGACGATTGAGGTCGGAGCGTTCTCGAGCATCATCTACTGGCTGTCCAACCTCAACGAAGGCGACTCGGGTGGTCGCTTCGGCTACTTCATCTTCATGTGCTTCCTCCACTACTGGGTGCGCTACCTATCTCTGTCCCTCGTTCTCGACCTTCAGCTGATCATTCAGTTGCGCACCGGCGCACAACAGACCATGCGCGCGTTGTCGAGAATGATAGCGGTGTGGTCGCCGTCACTGCTCTATGCCCAAAGCTTTGGACCCATGATCATCGCCATGCTCCTCATGTTTGGTGGCTACCTGGTTCCTCGCGTACGTGCCGCTCACTCCCGAGGTCGCCTCAACGCTGGAGCGCGTTAAACAGTTGCTCACTCACTTCTTTGTTGTGCCGGGTGTTGGGGTTCAGATTCACATTTATGGCTGGTGGATTTGGATGTACTACGCAAATCCAGTTTCCTACGCCTTCCAAGGCCTCGCCTCCAACGAGTTCTGGGGCCGCGAATACTCGTGCACGGACTCCGAGCTCATGCCGCCCACCTCCGTGCCCAACTTCAACCTGCCCTTCCCCGACGGGTTTGACGGTACGTACGAGATCATATTTTTCTCGCTTCACCAGACATTCATTGGCATTTTATTCACACACACACACACACACACACAACACTCTCACAACACTCACACAACACTCTCACAACACTCACACAACACTCGCACACACACACGACACAACAGGGAATCGTGCCTGTCCAATCACGGACGGAACCGATTACATCGTGAACAGCTACGGCGTGTTCGACCGGGAGTGGCTCAAGTGGATCATGATCGTGTGCCTGATCTGCTGGTGGTTCATCTTCACGCTGGTGACCTACATTGGGCTGCGGTTCGTGCGTCATTCGCCCCCGAGGAAGCCGCGCATGAAGAACATGGACGTGAGCGAGGAGGAAGCAGTCGAAATGAAGCAGTTCAACATCAAGACCGTCAAGGCGCAATACGTCAAGCGCCGACACGGCAGCCCTGTCAACGACAACGAAAACAGCAGCTCTCCCAGTACGTACTCACTTCAAGCCCCAGCCCCAGCCCCAGCAACAGCAATATATTATGGTCTGATTGCTCTTTACAGGCGAAAATGTGGAAGAGGGAAAGAGGGGAAAGTCGAGGGCAGTGCTGACCAGGTCCTGGAGAAGCGCGGCGGAGGGTTCGTGGAGGGCGGAGCGTATCTCTCGTGGCACCATCTCAACTACTCCGTGTTCACGCAATCGGGGTTGAAGAAGACGGAGCTGCAGCTGCTCCACGACGTCTCTGGCTACGTGAAGCCGGGGATGATGCTCGCCTTGATGGTACGTACTTATTTTACATTACACGAGGAAGCCTACGTGCGTAAGAATGTTGAGAATGACGATCATTTCTCTTGATTCGATGCAATGAATGTATGGCAGGGTTCGTCGGGAGCCGGCAAGTCGACGCTGATGGACGTGTTGGCGCTCCGCAAGACGGGCGGCAAGATCACGGGCGAGGTGCTCGTCAACGGACGCAAGACCGGCAAAAACTTGTCGCGCATCATCGGCTACGTCGAGCAGCAGGACATCCACTCCCCCACCCAGTCCATCTACGAGGCCATCGAGCTATCTGCTCTCGTACGTTGTTTACCATCTTTATATACTTATTTATTTTCTTTATGTATTTATGTATTTATTATTGCTCGCGCTGACTGTGAACTGTCCACAGTGTCGTTTGCCGTCGTCCATCCCTCGGGCCGAGAAGAAGAAGTATGCGCGTAGTCTGCTCCGAGTGCTCGGCCTCGAGCAGATCGCCAACCGCGTGATCGGCACCAACGCGGCCGACGGTATCTCCGCCGACCAACGCAAGCGTCTTACCATCGGCGTCGAGATGGCTGCCGACCCTGCCCTCCTCTTCCTCGACGAGGTGCGTTCCAGCCAAAGCCACTCACTTTACTCAACCCACCGCGACTGTTCTTCAGTCTTCCCCGTGCCTGCGTCTGTGAATCTTACCACCGCTGTGCCGCGCTTCAACAGCCTACGTCGGGCCTGGACTCGTTTGGCGCCGAGAGGGTGATGCTCGCGGTGAAGAACATTGCCGCCCGTGGTACGTCGGTCGTGTGCACCATCCACCAGCCATCCGCGACCATCTTTGGCATGTTCACGCACCTGCTCCTCCTCAAGAAAGGTACTCATGGCACTACCGCAACCCCCCCCCCATACCATCGTGTGGGCTAAACTGTGTGTGTGTGTGTGTGACATAGGTGGCTACACGACGTACTTTGGACCCATCGGCACGCAGGAAGGCGACTACTCCATTCTCCTGGACTACTTTGCCGGGTACGACCACAGCAACACCAACACTACTTTTGGTGCTCTTCTCCTCATGCGTCATCCTCCTTCATCCACACACACACACACACACGACAGGCTGGGGCATCACATGGTGAAGAAGCACGAGAACCCGGCCGAGTTCATTCTCGAGGTGACGGGCGCCGGCATCCCCAAGACCGTGCCCACCAGCGTTGACGAACTCCGCGAACAGCCGAGCATTGCCAAGGCGCTGGAGGAGAAGGAGGAGGAGTCGGCCCAGGACGGCATCCCCATGGACGACATGGAGCGAGGCAAAACGGCGGAGAATTTCTACGTCGACGCCTACCTCCGTTCCCAGCCGTTCGCCGCCGCCGAGGAGGAACTCACAGCCGGCATCTTCCCCGCGGTATGGACCCCTCCCCACATATCGATATATATACATATGTACATTTATCGATATATACACATACGTATACATATTCATATATTGCTTACATATCTTGATTATGTTGCTGTGTTGTGATTGGACAACAGCATGGGGATGAGGAGGAGCAGAGCAGGTGGGAGAAGATCAAGCAGCGCCTGCTGCATCGCTACGCCAGCAACTACGTCGTGCAGTTCACGCAGGTGATCAAGCGCAGCTTCCTGGCCTACGGGCGCAGTCCCGAGGAGTTCCTGCAGAAGGTGCTGGGACCGCTGGTGCTGGGCATCATCATCGGCACCTTCTTCCTCCAGTTCGACAACACTCAGCAGGGCGCGTTCCAACGCGGCTCCCTACTCTACTTTTCCATGCTCATTGCCAATCTGCTCGGCATTCGTACGGCTTCCTCTCTTTCGTTCTATCTTTTGGCGTAGCTAATGTCCCCGTATGCGACACACACACACACACACACACATGACTGACACACACACACACACAAACAGAGTTGAAGGCGAAGGTGTTCCAGGAGCGGTCGTTCATGTATCGGGAGAGGGCTTCGCGCACGTACAGCTCCCTGGTCTACCTGGCCTGCCTGGTGCTCGTCGAAGTGCCCTTCCTTGTTTTCAACGCCATCACCTACTCGTACGTGCCCTTGATGTTCATATATTCTCATATATATAATATTCGTTTTTATCATTAATATGTATGTGTAATGACCGTTTCACAGGATCCCGGTGTACTTCATCTCGGGCCTATCATACAACGCGGGTCAGTTCTGGATCTTCTTCAGCATTTACCTGCTGGCCAACCTGATCTCGGTCACCCTGATCTTCGTGATCTGCCTGTCGTCGCCCAACATCACCCTGGCCAACGCCCTGTCGGCGCTGGTGTTCACCCTCTTCTCCAACTTCGCCGGCTTCCTCATCACCCGCAACAACATTCCGCCCTGGTGGATCTGGGCGCACTACCTCGACATCGACATGTACGGCATCGAGGCACTTCTCATCAACGAAGTGGTACGTGGCTTCCCCTCCACTTTCACTTCATATATATATATATTCACATAAATATATATATGAATATGTAGGACGGGATGACGTTCACCTGCTCGGCGAGCGAACTGGTGCGGGTGCCGATCAAGGCGGTTGCGGGCGCCTTCAAGGAGTACTGCCCGGAAACGACGGGCGCGCAGGTGCTCGAAGAGTTGGGCATGGCGGCCAACAACCTCCTGCGCGACTCTCTGGTCCTGCTGGGCTGGTGGATCGCCTTGATCGTCGCCGCCGCCCTCCTGCTCAAGTTCGTCGTTCACCAGAAGCGCTGAACAACCTCCCCCACCAATGGACTCGTTTCCGGTCACACGGAAATGAAAAACAAAGGTTGTTCTTCTTTCATTTCTTGGCATTTCTTTTGCATCCGCGTTTGGACCCACCCAGATGCGGCGGGTGAGACCAGCGATGCGCAGCGCTACTGGTAATTGCAGCTGTTCCTCCTTGTTGCACTCGTTCTTCTCTTTGTGTAAAATAATGTTTTTAATTTAAATATATTACTTTAAATAGACAAATTATTATATTTAAACCACGTGTGGCACATCGTGTGACAGGACACTTGGCCGCTGCTGCCCCACTTGTGCTGACTAGTCGCCGCACGTATGGCACGTTTACCCCCCCCCAGACGAAAGTAAGTACCACGCGTAAAATAACCCACGATGGCCGCGCCATTCCGCGTTATTCTCGCATTGTGGGGGGGGGGTGCAGGTGTCCTCTACCGCACGCACAAGGCGAAAAAAGCGAGCGAGCAGCGCCAGGCACTACCGCCGCCAATAGCAGCAGCAGCAGCAATAACGGCAACAGCGGAGAAGCGGGCAAGAAGGAACG